AGAGAGAGAGAGACATAAAGACACAGAGACAGAGATAGAGAGAGAGGTAGAGAGAGTAAGAGAACTTAAGTTGTCTTTGCAGATGTGCATGAATCAGAGGTGCTTCTGCTCTATCTGCCTGTGAAGGGCAACAACAAAATGTTACAGCCCATTTAGCAAGAAACTATACATTCTTTCTGCAACATTTTGCTTACATTTCATTTGAAACATTTTACTTCCTCTATAGATTTTATTTCATAGGTTTTAGTCATTTTTGGCAACAGAAGTAGATACCCAGATGGTATCTCTTTTCTCCATAAGCTGAAATAATGTCTCAATATAAATTGCAAACCCATTTTTTTTATGATTTAGATTCCAAATTTTAAAACGTGGCAACACAGGCACATGTTGTGAATACCTTTAGTTGAACACAAAAGCAAGAAATTTTAAGTATTACAAAACACTATCTGGTTTCATTGATTCCACAAAAATTGAATGAAAAGGTTACCTGATGACACAGGCGTAAAGACCACTGTCCTGTAGCAATGTTGGTCTGAACCAAATGGAGTCTTCTTCTTTGCTCATTCTACTTCCATCAAAGGCTATTGGCTCTTCAAAATCTCCTGGACCAGAGCTTTTATACCACATCAAGCTGAGTCCAGCACTTTGGGCAAGGGAGTAATTTGCTCTGATATAACCATAAAAGAGTGCACATTTAATTCGGACAGGCTCTCCCACCAAAACTTGGTATTTCTTGATATCAACAGACCAATCTGTGCATCCATCGGCTGTAGAAAAAGAGACAGAGAGAGAGAGAGAGAGAGAGAGAGAGAGAGAGAGAGAGAGGACAAACATTAAGGAAAAGATTAAGCAGTTGGTTTATTCATTTACTTAAATATTTACAGAACATATGTACTGAGTTAGATTTACTCTAGGAACAGCAAATACAAAGCAATAAACAACGAGATAGAGATAGAGAGAGAATTGCCCTCCAAAGTTGTTTACTCTGCAGGAAAACAATGCATTGCTTACTTAGTCTGTTTCTTCCCATATTTAGTTTAGTTCACATCAATAGGCTCATTATTGATTTATTAATCTCTCTGTTATAAATATCCTGTTTTGTCTGCTCTATGAAAATATATTTGGGCCTCCTTGGCTCATTGGTATTAAATTCATGTCAGCAGAGGATGCTGGACACAATTTTCTGTTCTAGTTGGCTTGCTTGGCACTTTCTTGCAGTGTGCATGGATTCCCCACCACCTGACCTCTGCAATGAAAAATATCCAGCAGTTTAGTAAACGCTTTAGCAAATCCTCTGGTGAGACATATTCTAATGAATAGATTTCACATGAATTTCAGAAAGAATATCTCTGGCAACTTCAGTGGGCAATTATATTCCTATAAAGTTCCACTAATGCAGACTTAAGTGATTTGTGTCATTCACCTCATGGCAATACATTCTCAGTAAGACTTGCATCTCTGGCCTAAGCATAGAAAAAAAGGAAGTTCGATATCATCTCTACATGCAATTGGAGCCATTCCTTTTTAAATTACGGTTCTCTTTTGCTATGGACTGAATGTCTGTACCCCCAATTACATGTTGAAGCCCTAACACAATGCTTTGGTGTTGAAGATGGGACCATTCCTGGGTAGCTACAGTTATGTGAGATCAGAAGGTTGTGGCTTCTTCTGTTTTTATTAGTATCCTTATAGAGACATGAGAACTTGCTGTTTATATCTCATATTGAGCTCAAAAAGAGCTCATGTTGTAAGTACACAGAGTGAAGGTAGCCACTCACAAGTTATGAAGACCCATCAAAAAAACTAAATTGCTTGGAATCTTGAGATTGGGCTTTCCAGTCACCAGAACTGGCGAAAATAAATGACTATTATGTAAGATTCTATGCCTATATGTTTTTATAGTAACCTAACCAGAATAACACACCTTTCTTTCATACTAGTCAATCATTTACTTAGTCCAATGTCCTGTTACATCAGTTAATTCTCTATAGAAATTTTATTTACTTTTCAGTATAACTTTTCTTAGTGATTTGACCCATAATTATAAAATCAGGAATAAAGACGGTATAGTTAACAAGACAGAAGGAAATACAATAAACTTAGTTGATCTCTGGTAAAAGTTTCACAGTTAAACACACAAGTGGACAAGTATTCTACTCTGACTTCTAGAGACCATTAAAGAAATTATAAAAAAGAAACCAATGTGGTGAGGCTTTGCTTTCTCTATTCTTGAAAGCAACATCTTCCAAGGGAAATCTTGGAACTTTTTTTTTCAGTCAAGACATCATCTTTGATGCCAAGAATGTTCTGGAACTTGTTGTGCAATCTAAGGGGGATTCAAATTTGCTATCGGCATGCCTCGGCCATTTAACCCTGGGATAATGAGCATGTTGCAAAAAGTGTGGTAACAGCATCTTTAACTATCAGTTCTCTCCCTAACACACATACATAATACTGGGCTGTAACAGGGATGATACGTCTGTATTATCAGTATAACAGAGAAGCTACTAACTTCTATGAAATATAAGGTGACAAAAATCCTTAAGCTAAGGCATACTCAAAGTATTTGAAAAAGACATTTAAATAACTTATAGAAGTGCTTTCTTTTTCACTAGCTTCAGAGCTTGCCTCATTTCTGCAAATGCTTTCTTTCTTATTCTGTCCATCAGAAGGCTTTTTTATCACTTAACTTGAAAATAGAATAGAGATAATGACATTTTACTCCAATGTACCCTGGCATCTCCTTATAAAGACATTTTTTTCTTATGGAACCGCAAATATTTTTATAACTGTGTAGCAAGATATCTCAAATCTTAAAAGTATATGTGATTACACAAAACTGTACTCCAGATGACTAAAATTGCTATTGATTCATTCCTGTTTTCTTTATTTCAGCATATAAACTGTGTTGAGTGAAAAACAATTTTGTAGATGCTGTTAATTATATTATGACACATACCAGGCAAATTTTATTGTTCTTATTAAAAATTTATTTTCAGGTAATTGCCTGTAACAATAGTATGCCATCTTTTTTGTTGTTGTTGTTATTCCAGGATGAAATGCCTTTCTATAAAGCCTTGCTCAAAATGTTTTTTCATTACACTATCTTCCTGACTGGAGGACTCCATGGGCATAGTCTGCTTCCACAGCACTTTGCAGCACATATTCCTTTATAGGCATTGGGAGATTATGAAGCCATAAAATTATTTTGGAGAGGAAAAGAAGGATGTATCATCCTTATTCCTTTCTTTTATCACCTTTAAGGTTGGGGAAGCTTATATGATGACAGTGATAAAACTGGAATTCAGAACTAATTGCTTTCCTGAGAGTTCAAACTATAGTATCATTTCAAACAAAACCTATATGCACTGGAAAATGTCAATATATTCAAATGAGATTAGAAAAAGTATTTTAATTAAGTCACTATTCCTACATATGTAAGAGCTCAAAATATTTCCATGGTAACAAGCTTAAAGGTTGAAACTTGAAAAAAAATCTAATGATAGAACTTCCACATATTGCATCCTAATATGTGAAAGTGTAAGTGGTTGGCATGGAAGCAAATGCTTGAATTCCTAGGATTCAGGAGGTAAAGGAGGAAAAGCAGGAGTTCTAGGCCAACCTGTGGTACACAGTGAGTTCAAGGCCAACCTGTGTATCTTAGGTAGACTTTATTTCAAATTAAAACCTCAAAAAGGCTGAGTTTTTGGACAAGTGGTAGGGTATTCGCTGGGCAGGTACATGGCCCTGTGTTTAAATTTTCATGTTAACAAAGGCATCAATGATTGATAAGAAGTATTCTTATCATTGACTAAACTGATGAATCTCGGCCTATTTGACTTTTGTACTAACACTTTGCAGCCATTTACCATTGGAGATTGTTTGATTAACAAAAAAAAAAACACATTTCTGTGAAATTTGTACCCTACTAGGTGTGGCCTACTATAAAAAATATGAGTGATAAGGATGTACAAATCACCTGTTACTTGCTCCAGTTGAGACAACTTTGTAGTGCAAAGTTTCTTATGAAGATCATGTCAAACTCACAATTAGCATGACCTCTGCTCCTTAGTCAGATCCCAACTTCCTTACCCTGCCATACTCTCTTCCTTAAAGTTTTTTTTCTAGAGCATCATGCCCTCTATCAATCATGTGCATGTAAACTTCTGTTGATGGTTTATACCTATAAATGTGGCCTAACATATCTTTATTATATATTCATATATTGAGAGTCAGGCTTATTTGAGCTGACAGTCCTGTAGAAGATGGGCATAAATTAATAGTATAACATGGAGGTGAAATAATAAGAATTTCAGGAAAAATATGACATTGCATGAAATGAGAATTTTGAGATCAACGTTGAACTTTGTAGCAAGTTGACCATACAATAAATAGAAATGTACAGATTTAGAGAGGAAAACAAAAGCAGAGTCACAGAGGTAAGTTGTGTCATAGATTTGAAAAAAAGTACAAATTAATTTTTGATGTATTAGAAGTTTAAAGCAGAAAGTAATGAGACAACAAAGAAAGGAAGTAGACATTTAGAAGTCCCATAGTTTCTTCTGTAAGATATAAAAACTGTTTAAATTAATTGTGACATCTATAACTCATGTTTTTTGATGTAGACTGAAACAGTTTTTTCAGTCAAATAGGAAATCAACAAGATCACATCCATTAAGTTGTAATCTCTTTGAAATGATTTTATAATGCCATTGTTAAAAGGTTTATTCAATGAAAAGACAGAATTCTTAAGAAGTTTCAGTAGAGGGGGTAGAAAGACAGCTTAGCATTTAAGAACACTAGCTTATTTTTCAGAAGACCCTGGTTCAATTCCCAGTACCCACATGGTAGTTAATAACCATCCATAACTCCAGTTCCAGGGGACCTGACACCATGTTCTAACCTCCATGGGCACTGACTTGCACAGGTGCACTTACTTTCATGCAGGAAATACTGTCATAAACGTAGAATAAAAATAATAAATACAACATTTTTTAAAAATCAGTAATTAAACTTAATATCAATGCATATATTTTGAACTTCTAAAACTTTTGCTGATCATAAATGAATATCTGGCATACTGATATCAATTGATACAACCCTTGAGTGTAGAAACCCGAAATTAAAGACATGAGTTCAGTAATGAGTATGGGACATATGCTCAGTCTATCACACACACTGAACAAAAGAATGAGGCCAGATTATAAAGAGGTGAATTGTGCATTTTATCTACTCTAGCTGCTTCTCTTTCAAAATATGAAATCCATAACTAAAATATGGCATAATTATTGTTGGAGTTATCTTGAGGTAAAAGGAGAGATGACCTCAGATTATCAGTACTATGAATAGAGAATCTCTGCAATAGTTAACCTCTGCATTCTATTTGCATTCATAAAATGTGGTGTCCTCAACTTTTCTGTGTGAATCACATTTATCAGGGGTGGAATGTTTCCAGATTCTTGCCTTTAAAAATACATGAAGTGTAACAATTTTGGGAGAGTGCTTTCAAATATTTTGGCAAAATCTGTGTGGGTGATAAGATTTGATGTTACTCAGGAGGCTCTGCCAATTATCAGGAACTGAAACTCTAGAAATCGTTTGTCTGATAAAGGCTGAAAGTTATTATCCACCAGTCTCTAAAAGTAGGTCACCTCCAGGTGGGTGCAGGCCTCGGTTAGCTGTTATTACATTCCTTGTGAGATACAGTTCCCTGTTGATCTGCGAACAGCTGGTTCCAAAGTAGATAGGGATGAGGTATCATGTTCTA